TCTAACATTTTTAAGTTGCAGTGTCATATGTCAAACAGAAACTTAGGTTACATTCATAAAAAGGGCCTCTAATGCTTTTATTTTAAATTTTCTTAAATGCTTAAGGGGCTTGGGGGAGAAGAAAAAATGGGGACAATCGTTTTCTTTAGCACCATAAATCAGTAACTTACTAAAGAGGTGCATTCAGTTCTATGGAAACTAAGGACTAGTACATTCAAAACTCTGTAGGCAGCAAACTCCAGTCAGTGCTACAGGTATCCCAGTAGAGCATCTTAAGATTTCTACCTTCCTCGCTGGGAGCAAAAAACAAAAGACCTCTTCTAGTTTTCATTCTAAGCCTTTTCTTTTGTGCTGTAAACAACTAGGCATCTCTCAAAGAGGCAGAATGACTTAAATATCTCCTTTCTTCTTTTTGAATGGGATGTCATTCTGAGACTCAAAAGCCCCTGAGCCTGTTAGATGGACAGACATCCTTTCCATTTCATGTGGATTAGTTTCTTCAGTGTCTTTAGTATCTATTTACCCAGATATTGATTTTTAAAAGCCTCATTCACACTTTGAACTTTGTACTAAGCCTCTCTTTTACATTGTCCTTTTACCTCTTAGTTATGATTCTGAAACCAAGAATACATCTCAAGTATCAGGTAGCTGCAATGAGAGCTCTGCTTCATGACTGTAGCTACTTTTTAATGCTGAGTAAAAAATGTGCCTTAAAGGGTAGCCTGAGTACTGTCATCAAAATAATCCCATGCTGGTTGAGAACCCTCAAGCTGATAACAGTGTTTCCCAAGTTAAACAGCCCAACTAAAATTTTTCCTCCCTTATTGGGATCTTTGAGAAACCTTATAAAATCCCTGGCCTACACTGTGTTGACAAGATCCCTATTTGTAAGTAAAATGTTTGATTTTGGTACTAAACCTTCTAAACATAACTGTAGGCTTAGTGAAATCTATGATTAGAAAACAAACCAACCTCAAATTAGTTTTATTTTATAAAAAAGACACATTTCTGTAGTGATGATCAGTCACTAAAAAAATCTATAAATGAAAACAAAAACTCCTTAAACTACATAATTTCCCAGTAATACAGAAGAAAACAAACATTTCTAGTTTTAGCAATAGTTAGGACTAGCTAGGGCTCCATTCGCCTCTTCAGTGCAGAAACTTAGCTCTTTTCAATTCTTGGAACTGTTCAGAGAGCATCAGTAAATTGAAGATGTGGTGGATCTGCATCAGACTGGTTCATCTTGGTAAGAGCAAGCCTGGCTAGGAGGTCCTTGGATATGGTTTTTCTCCTTTAGGTAGTAAACACTAATTCAAACTCACTAAAATGGAAATTCACTAGAACTGCAGGACCTCACACAACAGGACATAGGATGATAGCTAGAGTTGCTTACAGCTTTCAAAGCATCCTTTATGCTTCTCTTACAGTTACACACACACACACACACACACACACACACACACACACACACACACACACACACACCCTTCCCTCGCCCCCTGCACACACACAAATGCTTCCCAGCAAGGAAAAAGGTCAGAGAAGGTGAAAGTTGTCACAAAAGCCCACCTAGCACCAAGGACTTCAGGGAAATGGCTGAAGAAGTGATGGTTAAGGTAGTGCAGGAGGTTTGAAAACATTTAGGAAAAAGTAAGGCCTTAACACATAATTGCAGAGTACTGAGAAGAAGTCAGAAGGGAAAGCTGGGAGGAAGCAGCATATGTGAGGAAGCTGGTATATGAGATACTGGAGAGGCAGAGAGGACAGCCACTGGCTCAAGCCAGTTATCACAGCCCAAACATGACCCCCAAAGTCTCAAAGACCCTTGGTCAGGGCCACTGTTTCAGCACCCTGCTCTACATAGTATAGCACCTAACCAGGGCAGGAGATCAGACCTATTCTCACAGATTTTCAAGGAAAAGGAGTTTCCAAATTTCCTCAGTCACCTGATAGTTTGTCCGTGTGTGCATGCCTGTGAGTGTGGATGTGTTTAAAGTTAGATTTGAAAATGGCCAAGGCAATTAAAGGTAATTAAAAACAGGAAAGTTTCCCTCTGAACTTCCAGAAGAAAGTAGCCTAAGGTTCTTAAACCCTGACAATTTGGGGAGATGGACTATAAGACCAAAAAAAAAAAAAAAAAAAAAAAAAAAAAAAAAAAAAAAAAAAAAAAAAAAAAAAGAAGAAGAAGAAAAAATCTAAGACTAAGAACTGAGATTAAGTAAGAAAAATAAGGGAGGACACTATTTCCAGGAAAGTAAAGATTAAATGGGACTCTGTTGAGGGGGAATTAATGGGAAGCGGCTTCACAGAGAGGAGAGGTTAGAAGGGAGTAGTAATCAGGAATTTCAGACCAAGGAAAATTCAATATTTCTGACTTGAGATATCAGTGATAGGGCAAAACATTATTTTTATGCATTGGTCCTCACTCCACTAAGGCAGCTGGCTGAATAAAGAATCTCCAATAGGTCTGGTCTACTATGTTGTGACAGGAAGACAAAGAATTGTGAGAGGAGAGACAGGATCAACAGAATGCTAAATACTGAACAACTTAGAACACAATGTACTGAGAGGGATAGTAAATGTGATTAAGAGAATATGCATCTTCTATCTTGGCCTATTGCTCATTTCTCACGCAGTTTCTTGTTATGTTTCAGTACCAAATAACTGGTTATGAGTCACTAATTCATATGTTAAAAATATATAATACACTGCAGGGCAATAAAAAAGGTGCTGTAAAATGGCAATTCTGGGGCCGGCCTGGTGGCGCACTGGATAAGTGCGCCGCTTGGGAAGTGCGGTGGCGCTCCCGCCCGAGGGTTCGGATCCCACATACAGACCGGTTCCCGCTCACTGGCTGAGCGAGGCGCGGGAGCAATGCCGAGGGTTGCAATCCCGTTTGCCGGTCCCCGGTCCGGTGTGGGGGCAACACTGAGGGTTGCGATCCGTTGCCGGACACGGAAAAAGACAAAAAAAAAAAAAATGGCAATTCTCTTTGGAGAAAGGGATATACCATGCCCTAGAATTGGCCCTCAATGAGCTCCACAGCAGCAAGTGAAAGAGTACCCACTCTAAGGGACTCATGATAGCAAGTTCTGACAAGGAAATTGTTTCCAGCAGTTTCAGGCTGTCCTTCTGCCCCACTCCCACCCTGTTCTCCAAAGCTGAACTGATATTGAAAAATCTGGGACAACTGTCCCATACTTATTTTTATTAAAACACATTGTACTCATGGAACATTTTCTTTATTTCTTCTTTAATTGCCAGTTTTTGATTACATAGAAAGCACTCCATTCCTGTAAGCCAGCAGGTGACTTTGAGGTCTGGAGTTTTGGGGATCACAGTTCAGGAAGAGTTGGTGATTCCAAGCCAAAATTCAGCTGCAAAACAGAACAAACAAAAACAAAAACAAAAAGACCAGCTCCTAGGACCCAGCCATAGCATTCAGTATAAACAGCTAGCTATCAAAATAGAGAAATAGAAGAAAGTGTTCCAGTTTGATTATTTTCCCTTTTGGATGGCAGCTGTAGGGCAGGAGACATGTTTCATTTGGTGCCTTTCCACTAAGTAGTTTTCCAGGGCTCACTGCACACAGAGTGTCAAAGCCTAGGAATGGGCCTGAACCAGCCTCACAAAATGCTCTTCACCCACTCTTCCCCACAGACACAAGAGACTGATGCTGGGAACACACACAATCAAGAACACAGGCTTGTTCATTTTATTACCTAGCTATAAGTAGTAGAGCAGGCTGGTGAAAGGAATCATGGACTCGGAAGTGTGTATACTTTTATATGTGATAAGCTTCCTTCCATTTCTCTCTGACTACTTTCGAATGTTGCTTTTCTGTTTGTGAATATATTTAGGTGACAATGACTAGGTAGGTTCATTTTTTGCTTAAATTTTTCCTTTTGAAACATCTTCCCTTTTTTGTTAAGTCCCCCTTTGCCCCACCCACTTATTCTCCACCCGCCCACCCCAGCCTATATATTCACAAGTTAATAGGTTAGTAACAATATTAGTAAGAATAGTAACAACAACAACAACCAACAACATTAATAATATTAATCCCCTATATCTGTATAGCACTTTACGATCTACAAAGCGCTTTCACATCCATTATCTCATCTGTGCCATAATGCATCAGTCATCAGACGCACAGGCCTTCAACTGTGCAAGGAAAAGAGATCAAATGTTAGAAGTCAAGCAGTGAATAAAGGGGAAGAAAAGGCTAGTAGTGAGGAGTGGTGGAATTGTGAAATTTAGGAAAAAAATGGGGGGAGGGCTGAATAAAAAGTGTGATTTAAAAATTTATATTAAAAATTTATATTTAAGTTTAGCGTGTGGCATCAAATACTAGTCATCCTTGGACTAAGTATATATGGCCCAAATCAGTTGTTATCACAAATTGTTCAGCTTATCTAATTTTATATATATTTAACTCATAGGAAGAAAAATTTGGTTGAACTGAGATGCCTTAATATTTTCTTTAAATGACATTGGCATTGCAAGATTAAACACAAAGAACGCTAAAGCCATGATATGAGTGCACTTTTGACAAAACTGGAATAAAACATTTAGGAAACTACTTAAATAAAAGCAATCTATGTACTTCGTTTATCATTAGTGTTGACTTTATAATTTATCCCAGACTATTATAAAATATATAAAACTGAGATATAAAGTATCAGCAATATAACTTTGCACTTTAAATAATTTTCAGCTACAGATTTTGCTTTTAGAAAACAAACTTTCAAAGCAGCTATTTTGATTCCTTGTAAAAGGTTCTGTAAATGCATATACTTGGGTCCCTGATGGATTTAGATGTAATGACTTTCAGACTTTTCCAACATTTTGACTCTTAGACAATGGAACAAACAAATTTTTATTGTGCCTTAACTGTTCATGTTTCCACATAGGACAGTAGAGTTTAAAACTATAAAGGAATGTATGTATGTGTGTGCGTGTGTGTGTGTATACATATATATACACACACATATGTGTGTGTGTATATATATATATACATTGAAAATTCATTAATGAGCTTTAAACTGTGGGATGAATCTGTGAGATGAGGTAAGAAAATTTGGCACATTTCAAACAGTATCCTTTAAGTTTTGGTAAATTGTGTAACACAACATATTTTTCCATTGTGATCTACAGGTGCTATCCACATAAGTGGGGGTGGTTAATAGCAAGAATCACTGGAATGTTTCTGGTAAATTAACAGGGACAAGCTCCCCAAATACTCACAACCAAATGTTGATATAGAAGTAAAAATATATACAGTACAGTCAGTTGTTTGTAGTTTGGCACAATGTTTTCCATTTTTTCCTTGTGGGTAAATAGTGCATAAACTACTTGTGCAACTGTATGACTTTTCAAGTCTTTTACATAGAACATCAGATTAAAGTTTGTTTCCAAAGACTTATTCCCACAATTTAAAATTCTTTACTTTAAGCACTTACATTTCAACATACATACCACAAGGCATATTTTGAAAGAAATAAAACAAACATCAAATGTCTTTCTGGAAAATGCGAGTCTCTTCTTCAAACACCGGTAAAACCCAAAATGTTGTTTCTGCTTTTAGGAGATTGTAGTCAGAATTCCTGCAGAAAAATCAAACAATTTATGCCATCTTAGTTTTAGTGTATGTCCCACAAAGGGATCATACAATCTAAATTTGTTAACATCATACTAGATGCTGTATGATGCAGAAAAAGATACAAACAGCATGGGGTACTAGAAAGCACTCTTAATTGCCACATGTTGAGATTTTGTTTTCCAACTAAGCTCTTTTTTTTTAAAATGATCTTGGCTTTTTGTCTACATGACTTTTTAATTCTGTTGTTCAAAATCTGTCTTACTGCAAGGTCCTTCCCTTTTCAAAATCATTCAAGAGCATATTTTAGTTTTATTTTCTTAATAAGTAAAAACTAATGCTGAATAGCAGAAGAAAAAGTAGCCTTGTTAGAGCTTGTCTCTAGCCACGCCACAACAAAATTGCCCAATCTTTTGGGGTGGCTTAAAGGTATAGAGATTTTCATGCACTTTTACTTTTCTTTTTAATTTGAAAAAGAAGGGAGTGGGACAGTTTCTTTCATGCAAACTTTTGCTTCCAAGAGGGAAAAACGAGGGACTGTGGGCTTAGCAGGTAGTAGGAAAGCTAAGGGTGCATCATCTCAGCCATTCTGGTGCAGTATTACCTCAGTTTTTCAAAAGAAGCTGTCCCAGCCTCATCCTTGTGGACCTGTTCTCTCTCCATGCGCTTTCCCTTACACTTCTCATCTCTCAGGGCCTTGGAGCTGGATTTGTGGCGATATAATTTTTTGTGTGTTGGTCCATTATTGCCTAAAGTGCTAGTGTTACTATACTTTTTATCAAAGACGGCAGAGCGAGAGTCCTCATTATAACCAGGCAGGTTTGCACGACCAGGATCACCTATTGCTGCTTTTGCATTGCTTTTGCTCACACCCTTGATTGACCTGTGATTCTTAATGGCTCCTGGGGACCCACTGTTGACCTTTTTCTTAGACTCCTGTGGTGTCCCAGCCAATATTTTGAGGGTTTTTAATTTTAGACTATTAGACTCAGGGGAATAGAATATGTTGGGGTCCCCATGGTGCTCCGTGGGTTCCCAAAGGGGCTCTATGGAGGCCATCATGAATCTCTGCACATCTGCCATACCAGAGGCAATGTTGGACAAGATATAGGAAGGCTCCTGAAATTCTCGTTGGTCATCATCTAGGAGGCTGTTGGTGTTGGTGCCCATGCTCATGTTGCTCCAGCCTGGGCTGCTCTCCTTCCCCAAAGCCCAATTTCCAGAAAGTCCCTTCTGATTTGGAATCTTCACAGAGGCCATAGGGACACCATGTTGGATACACTCAGCCAATGTCTTCCCAGGGGAGGATATGCTGTTGGTTTGGCCTCCCCCACGGCCAATGCCAGTTTGCATTTTCTCTCCATTGATAACAGCCATGTATTTCCCTTTCTTTGTTGATTTAGGGACCTGGCGGGAGGTTTTGCCAGGTGGCTTTTCAATCCCTTTGTTGCTGGCTTTGGGGGATTTTTTCCTAGTGTTTTTCTGAGAAGAGCTTTGATTAACAGACCCACTCTTGCTGGGCAAACTTTTCTTTCTTGATTTCGACACTTTGTTGTTGGTACTAATTTGACCAGATGGATCATCAAATGTTGACAGGCAAGGGTTTTTTTGGAGCAGACTGACAGAATCCTCATCATTGAACATATGGAACTGAAACTGATGGTTATTTAAAGTAAATCCATCACCCACTTGGACTTGCTGTGAAAGGGTACTGCAGTCCCACTTAATTTTCTCCATGCTGCCCAATGGTTCTGGCACACCTTCTTGGAACCCCTTCAGTGTTCCTATTGTCTTGATACTCTCACATCTGGTAATTTGAGGGGAAAGACTAGGGGTGTCAGGTGGAGAAATCTCTGAAAGGGAAGAGTGGCGGAATTTGTCAGGAGTAAAGTTGGAGATATCCAGGAGGTCAGTGGACTCCTTTAGCGGTGCTATCTCATCAATGCTCTGCTGTATCACCAGCTTGGGGCTGCAATGGGCCAGAAAGTCATCAGTGATGTCATCATCACCATCCTTTTCACAGGACTTTAAGCTTAAGGAGCAATAATTGCTTGAGTTGACAGAGAGTGGTGCCATTGAATCAAAGCTAAAGAGCCGACCATCATCCATGTTGACTGGGCCTTGCTGGAAAGGAAAGCAGATCTCTCCATTATTAAAGTGACATAATTGGTAAGAGTCATCAGATGGGAGCTGGGTGTCTTGCACGGAAGCATACAGAACCTTGTTGCAACCATTGCCACCACTGTTGAGGCAGATTGGACTGTATGTTGTAGCTGTGAGGTTATTTTCCATGGAGACTATTTGGGAGGCTCCAAATTCACTGGATTGGGTTGGGGCTGTCTCCCTTGAGACTTCAGCCATGAATTCCTGGGGGCCAGAAGTAGCCTTGTTGGGCCACTTGTTTCCATAGTTGCTTGATTCCATTTTGAAGTTACGAGACGACTGCTGCAGATCAGAGTCAGAGGATGAGGAGAGCACATGGTCCTGGGCAGACTGGAGAGGTACAAATGATTTTTCTGTCTGAGCAAGGCTGCCTTCATTTTGCTCTGGAGAATGGTGAATGAAGTATGAGATACTAGTACTATTTGACAAGTCAGAAGCATCTAACAATGTCTGCAGATATCCTCCAGGGATAACGGGTATATTAGTGGCAACATTAGTAGATGACAGAGGCATTTCAGAAGAGCAGGTAGATGGTAGGAAAGTGGAATTCTTAGCAACTTTTGCCTCCTGAAATTCAGATAGATGAGAACCATTTGAGGTCCCAGGAATAGCTTCATTCTTTAAATTAGCCTTGGAGGATTGGTCTTCCAAGAGAGGGCTCATTTGAACAACTGGCTTGCTTTCTTGCCCAGGAGCTTTGATTTTCTTGGATTTTAACCTAGCTTCACTTTTAAATTTGATTTTGTTGAGCACTTTCCTCTCTGGCCCCTTAAACTCTATGTCTTGGGCTTTGACTTTCAGTGAGTTAGGACCTGTGATGTCATTTAAGTGTGATCCATTTGCACAGCTGGGGGCAGCCAGAGATGCTGACTTTAGTGTATCTTTTAGGTCTCCATCTTCTTTATGATTAGTAGCTTGCCTCTGATCATTGCAGAATGAAACCTGTTTACTACTTGTTGAAGTTTCCACAGATGGGATTCTTTGAATTCTGTGCCTGTTGCCAAGTTTAGATTTTCGTTTGCGAGCAGGTGGCAGGAATGACACTTCAAAGCTACCTGGTTCAAAGCTTTGCTTTTGGCATAAGGGTGTCCTGATGGAGTCTGTGCTGCTGTTTCTCTGTTTCTTCTTCTTCTGCCAGAAGCCCTTCAAGGGTGCCAGCTTGGCATATTTGTTGAGCTGATTCTCACTCAAATTCACTGTTGTCTCACTTGCATCCACCTTACTCAACTTCACCAGCATGTTCTTTTCACCTTTAAAGCGATTGATGATGATATATTTGATAATAACAGGGGGCTCCTTACGGGTTACTTTTCTTCTTTTTTTTGGACACCATTCATCATCATCTTCCTCTTTGGAACCACCGGGAAGCCATTCTTTCCTCTCATTTACTTTTTCACCCTCTAGTGAGTCAACATCATACAGATAATCTTCACTGTATCTGACTTTTCTCTTGGCTCGTAGCCCATAGTTCTGCTGGGAGGAGGAGCTGCCAGAATTAGTGTCCCGAGACATATAGCGGCTACAGTCCTTGATCTCCCTCATGGCATCATATGATACCTCAATGAAGGAACTTGCATCACTGAAATTCCCTGATGTCTCCAGGGAATCAGCAAGATGGCTCTGTTTCGGATTCTTAAATGGCCCTACCTCAGTCCCACTGCATGGTTTATTTAAGGCAGATTTTCCTCCATTATCCTTTCCATCTTTTTTCTCAACACTTTTGTCTTCCTGTCCTTCCTCTTTGCCTTTCTTCTTGTCCAGGTTTTTATCTTCTTCCCCCCAGATGATGCTCACATCAGGGACCTTGAATTGGGAAAGATCACTGTTCTGCTTCAGGGCCCCACTCTTAGATTCCCGCTTGGGGCAGGTAGTAAAGACACTGGGAAAAAAGTTGAATTGGGCATCCTCCTGCATCAGAAGTGTGGTCTTGTCTCGAACATTGTCCTGAAAGGACTCATATCGAATTTTCAGGGAGCAGACATCACTGCCCAGTGTTGACTCGTCATCATCAAACATGTAGTTATCTACATCTTCTTCAGAGAATAGGTTGACAGACAGCTCATTCTTAGAACAAAGGTCGAGTAGTTCAATCTTACTCTCACTAATGAAAGTCTCAAAGTAACCCCAATCCTGATTTGAATTTGCAAGCAAAGCTTCTTCTGTATTGCACTTATCTAACAGTAATGCCTCATAATAACTTTTCTGAGCTGGATCCTCCAAGTCAATGTCAGGTTTCTCAGCTTCTCGTTTATCTCCTGCCCTTGATTTATGCAGGGGGAAGCCTAGGAGCTGGTCTGAGAGCAGCTGCTCTCCATATTTCATGTTTTCTCCAGCATTAATACACTGAATCCCTATATCAGAGACTGCACACGTTTCATAATCCCTATTTATATCACTGACTTTCAGACTGATCCCTGGCTCGGGATCTACTGTATCCTTGGATTCCATGAAGCAGCCCAAGCAAGTCCGGCTTGGCTGCATGAGGCAGTCCCCATTCAGAGCTGACATGCCTGCAGGCTCCATGATGGCAAATGGAGCTTTCTCACACTCATTGGGCAGTGACCATGTGTTCAGGCCTTTTGCATCGCCAGATGTGAGGGAGATGGCATTCACAGAAGCACTATTAGCAGCATGCTCAGGTGCTTCAATCAGGCCCAAAGGAGAGGGAGGGCTCTGCATACAGGGCTTCTTAGAGGGAAGAGGCAAGATACCCCTGGGATACATCAGGGTCTCTTTTTGTACCACTGGTACAGGCTGGATTGGTGCAGCAGCTTCTAGAGCTGTAAATGACTTCATTGCCACATCTTGTTCCTCTGAGTCTAGAGAAAACGGAAAGAAATGATAGGAATAAAGTTAAGGGTCTTAGACCAGACTCATTAATCTTGATCAGAAACCCTTGATCAGTTTCTGGTACTTGATCTTATTATATAAGCTAAGCCTCTGCTTCTTTATCTTTAGAAATCAAATACAATGTTAAAGAGCAACCCTGATTTTATATTGAACATTCATGCAAATGAAAAATAATAATTCTTTACGCCCAGCTTCTTCCTCACTGAAAGACAGAGCTCTCCTCAGAAATGAGGAAAGAATTAAACTGCTCAATCTATTGGAAAGTTAAGGCTTTTGGGGGACAATGCTCAGATGGTTTTGAGCTACGAGGCTCAAGCCCATCCTTCATACCCATGTTCTAGAAGCTCCTAGTAAATCTAGAAGTTCCAAGCCTCATATTAGAATATATTTTTAGTTCACTAGGAATTTTGAGGAACTTCATCTGACAGAGATGATTTGGGAGGGCAAAGTGGTAGGATTAGATGCTTCCTGGAGCTTCTTCTAGCCCAGTTAGAGATTTAGTGGAATAAAGTTTGGGACTAACATCAACCTCAGAGTCATCCTGAACTCAACCTGTCCCAACATTATGAATACTAAAAATTCATAGTAATAACAAAGGACTACTGGGAGAGATATTGTATACCATAATTAAATTTCCTTACCATTTTCTTTGACACCATTTATCATAGTGTTTTCTCTGTTGGCTGAGGCAAAAATAGCCTTATCTTGTTGATTATCCATGAATGTAACCTCTTATTGTTTCATTCCAAGTCCAAATGCTGTCCAACCTGCACATTTCAAATACATAATATCAGTCATTAAATTTGTTTTATTCTGTGTTTTACAGGTTATTTCAGCTAGAGGGGTCTTAAAAGGCTCACTGAGATTTACCTGCTTCCAGACTGGCTTCATTACTGATATTGTTTTTGTTTCATAGTTTATACCTACCATATAAGTCAATTTAGAAACTCATGCTTCATTCACACATCCTAGATCTTTCTATTCCATATAGGCCACCATAGTATTCAAAACTAAAATTTGAGAAAGCAGGTAAACTTACACTTTCCTACACATAGTAACAAATTTCACCTAATTATGGTTGCCCAATTAGAAAGGATGCAAAGCAGAGTCCAGACTAACCTGAGATAAGGGTTGTGCATGTGAGATTAGCTTTATTTCTGTTTGCCTCATTTCTTTTTTCTTATATTTTTAATTTTAATTAATCAATATACAATATAGTTGATTTTTGTGTCCATTTACCAATTCCTCCTTTTACTATTTGCCTCATTTCTACTTCAGATGATCAGACGTTCTTCAAAACCAAGCCAATTCATACATATGTAAGCATATACATCACACTCAGATTTTCTCTTTCTGTGCCCTAAAATTTGACTGTGAAGGATGAAAGAGGTACAAAATCCCTTGGTTTCTTGACTTTCAGGACTTCAACTTGGATTTTGATCAATATTCCTCCAAGCCCCTAGCAAAAACTTAAAATGTACCTACAAAGAAGACCTAGATTTTCTGAAAAGCTCCTAGCATCATCTGGCATTTTTAGGGCATAGTACACCTATTAATAGCTCCTCATCTCCTGCCCACCTACCTGTATTATCTCCTACCATATGCAAAATGATAGGAGATGAAGCCACCCGAGATGGCGGTATCTACCCTGTACCAGTACAACATGCACAAATCCCTATTTATTCCAGCCCCCCTGTTCCTAGACCTTCTTTCCAGACAAGTATCCATCCCTTTATTAAAAAGCACACACTACTGGCTGGCTGGTTAGCTCATTTGGTTAGAGTGTGGTGTTGTAACGTCAGGGTCAAGGGTTCAGATCCCTGTACTGGCCAGCACCCCCCACCCCCAAAAGCACACATTACTGATAGCTGAGCACTACTGCAAGAACCTCAATTGTATATTCATTAATCCTAATGCATGCATGTGTTATAAAAGGTGGATGCAACATTGAGGGAAAAAGAAGCAGTAACAGTTTCAAATGATTCAATCTGTTAGATATTTTACCTATCTGGGACTATATTCTTATCTATAAAATAAAAATTCTCTATTAGACAATCTCCCAGTTTAAAAAATGTTAGATGAAGGAGTGTGGGGACCTCAAGAGCTGAGGGCAGCCCCCACTGACAGCCAGCAGGAGCACAGGGACCTCAGGAGCCAAGATCAGCCCATGCCAACAGATGGCAGGAGCATAGGAACCTCAGGAGCTAAGAGCAGCCCCTGCTGACAGATGGCAAGAGTGTGGGGTGCCATCATGTGGGCAGCTCACTGCTGCCACAGACCACTGCCATGCAGGTGGTTTTCCATAGGCATCACTACAGCCAGCACTGCCACAAGCGTGGCTCACCACCACAGCAGCAGCCACCATGCCACAGCAACTACCACCACTGTGCAGGTGACCCACCAATCACTTGACTGCATTGACACAAGGAGGGTCACCAGTGGAGCCCAGGGAAAGAGGTGAGTGAGCACAAACACAGTGTCCTAACCCACAGGGGGAATTACTCTGCACATGCAGTAGTGCACCTGGCAGTGGGAGGTACATGCACAGCCCATGCGACTGCCTTGATCTGGGGAGACACACATGTGGAAACCCTGGAGAGTGCAGAAACCCAGGACACTCAAATAGAGTAAGGAAGAAAATTCCCAACCACAACCAACCCTACCAACCAGGGAAAGCAAGGACCCAGGAGGAGACTCTGCCTCTACAAAAGAGGAAAGAGAAACCCCACCCAGCTACCCACACAACTGAGGAGCTCCAGTATACACCAGTGTATACATCAGTGTAAACATCTAGTATACATCAGAGTCACAGGACACTAGCCAGGATGCCAACAAGCCTGCCCAGGATCACCTACACCAGCACTGAATGACACTGCAGAATGACAGGGCACCCAAGCACTTCTCCCCAAAACTTGAGAGCTCACTTAAGAGTCCTCAACAAGGGCCGGCCCGGTGGCGCACTGCTACAGTGTGCCGCTTGGGAAGCGCGGCGGCGCTCCTGCCGAGGGTTCGGATCCCACATACAGACCGGCCGCTCACTGGCTGAGCAAGGTGCGGGGGCAGCACTGAGGGTTGCGATCCCGTGGCCGGTCCCGGTCCGGTACGGGCGCGACACTGAGGGTTGCGATCCGTTGCCGGTCACGAAAAAAGACAAAAAGGAAAAAAAAAAAAAGAGTCCTCAACAAACCAAAAGTTTCACTAGCCTCAGCAAGGAATCCCTAAGTGCCCCAGTGCCAAGGCCACAGAGGCACTCACATGCAACCCCAACACAGAATATGGCCAAAGTATGAACATGGAGACTAAACTACTACATCTACTCAGAACCAATACTAAAACACCTTACTCAATGGTCAACATAAAACACATTTAAAGGAGGAAATTCCTCTCAAAGCCCACTCCAGAGTAACAGAAGAAGCAACTGCTCTACCAGATGACCAGACATCAATTTATAAATAATATAAATATGAAAAAAAGAAAATATGACAACACCAGAGAAATACAATAATTCTCAAGTACCAGACCCAACAGAGCACTAAACCCTTGAAATGACTGAAAAGGAATTCCAAGCAACAATCTTAAGGAAATTCAGTGAGATACAAGAAGACTCAGATGACACAACAAAATCAGAAAAACTATTCAGGATATGAAGGAGGACATTTACAAAAAGATTAATACTTTTAAAAAGAATGTAGCAAAACTCCTGGAACTGAAGGATTCATTCAGTGAAATAAAAGACACACTGAGAGCTTAAGCAGCAGGCTAGAAGAAGAAGAAGAAAGAATTTCTGATCTTCAAGATGGTCTTTTCAAAATAAATGAGGTTGACAAAAAAAAAAAGAAGTAAAAAAATGAAGAAAATCTACGAGAGCTAGCAGACAACCATAAGCACATAAACATTTGAATCATGGGTAGTCCAGAAGGGGAGGAGAAAGAAAAAGGCCTTGAAAACATACAAGGAAATAATAATGGAAAACTTCCCAGGGATAGGGAGAGACATGGGCCTTCAGACCAAAGAGGCTCAAAGAGTACTAAACAGATTCAATACAAAAAGATCCACTCTGAGACACATTACAGTAAAACAGTAAAACTAGCAAAACTCGAAGACAAAGAGAGAATCCTAAAAACAGCAAGAGAGAAGTGTCAAGTCACTTATAAGGGAGTCCACATGAAACTACCAGTGGGCTTCTCAACAGAAACTCTACTGGCCAGAGGAGTTGGGACTATATATTCAAAATACTAAAAGAAAAAAGCTGCCAACCAGGAACACTATACCCAGCAAAGCTATCCTTCATAAATGAAGTAGAAATAGTACATTTCCCAGACTAAAAAATAATGTGGGAATTCACCACCACATGACCAGCCCCACAAGAAATCCTAAAGGGTGTCTCACATCTGGAATCACAAAAACAATAATCACTACCATGAATACACAAGAAAGAACAAAACCCACTGGTAGAACAAAAATGCAAACAAGAGAAAGAAACTATATCTTACCACCTTAAAAAACCAACAAGCACCAAAGACAAACAATAAAAGAGGAAGAAAACAAAAGAAAGATATTTAAAGCAATCAAACAAAAATTGATAAAATGCCAGGAGTAAGACAATAACAACCTTTCAATAACAACCCTAAATGTAAATGGATTAAATTCCCCACTCAAAAGACACAGACTGATTGGATTAAAAAGCTAGACTTAACTACATGCTGTCTACAAGAGACTCACCTCACCTGTAAAGACACACAGACAAATCGTCAAGGGATGGAAAAAGATATACCATGCAAATGGAAACCAAAACTGAGTAGGAGTAGCTATTCTTACACTGGATAAAATAAACTTTAAACCAAAAACCATAAAAAGAGACAATGAAGGCCATTATATAATGATAAAGGGATACATCCAGCAAGAAGACATAGCAATCATAAATATATATGCACCCATCATTGGAGCATCTAGATATATAAAGAAAGACCATTAGACCTAAAGAAAGAGATAGACCCTAATATGATAACAGTTGGGGAACTGAACATCCCTCTCTCAGGTTGGATAGATCATTTAGGCAACAAATCAACAGAGAAATGCAGGATTTAAACTACACTTTAGAACAATTGGACTTGGCAGACAACACAGAATATACATTTTTCTCATTAGCACATGAAACGTTCTCTAGGATAAACCACATGTTAGGTCACAAATCAAGTCTCAACAAATTTTAAAAAATCAAAATCATTTCAAATATCATTTCCAACCACAATGGATTAAAGTGAAACACTGAAAACTATAGGTTAAACAACATGTTCCTGAATGTCCTACGGGTCCAAGAAGAAATTAAACAGGAAATAAAACAGTTTCTTGTAGCCAAAGAAAATAAAGATACATCATATCAAAACCTGTGGTATATGGTAAAAGCATTACTAAGAAATTGGTGCACTAAATGCTTATATCAAAAGAATAGAAAGATTTCAAATAAACAATCTTATGCTATACCTCAAAGAACTAAAAAGCAAGAACAATCCAATCCCAAAATTTGTAGATGGAAAGAAATAATTAAGATCTCAGCAGAACTAAATGAAATAGAGACCCCCAAAACAATAAAAAATATTAATGAAATAAGAAGTTGGTTATCTGAAAAGATAAACAAAATAGACAAATCATTAGATAGGATAACTAAAAAATAGAAAAGAGTAAAGGCCCAGATAACAAAAATCAGAAATGAAAAAGAAGACACTACAACAGATACCACAGAAAATACAAAGAATCATTAGATGTCGGTTC